CGCGTGCATTGAATAAATAAATAAATAAATAAATAAATAAATAGTGTCTTACATGGGCACATTCGGCTGACTTGAATAAATATCCGGTGAAATTGACTCGCGGAAAAGAAAAGAACATCTTCGGGAACGCTAACAATGACTTAGTTCTTCCAGCATCTTTTATTTCTCACCTAAGCGACACCTTTTAGAACTTTTTGCGTCTCTCAAACTTTTCCTCCGTTTTTTCCGAGCGGTTTCTATTCTTTTCTACTTCTCTGTCTTCTTAGCGTTAACGCCGCGCAGCTGCGGCATCCTACACTTCTTGTTGGGAGCAGCCCCGTCGAAAGCATTTTCTGCCGTGACCCTAACTTCAGTGAGCCCTTCTTTATGACTTATGGTTCGTCCTCCAGCTTTTCTTCAAGCTTCTCGTGGTTGCTTGCTCTGAGCTTCAGAAAACTAGCCTACTGTAGCCCACGGCAGGTTTTCTTTTCTCAGAGCCCTACGCTACCCTTTTGCAGTGAAGGCGAGCGCCGACAAACTGTCGCAGGCTTCGCAGAATAAATTGGAACGGCTAAAAAGCCCTAAAGAAAGTGTCTTTTCGATTAGCAGCGAAACAGTGCTTGCACTGATAGTCATCGTCGTTGAATCCCAGTAGTATCGAGACCAGCTATGTTTCCGTTAGCATTTCCTGCTTAGAGGAGCTGGTTTTCAGAGTCCAAAGGCAGCGGGTTCGATAACGTGGGTGCGTACCGGGGAACGTATATGCTCCCCTGAGAGCGGTAGTCACGCGGCAGAGGAATCAAGCAGTGCCATTTTCACGCTACACAGAACTGTAGACCCTCCAATCCTAATATCTACCGACCTACAGAGTGCCCCGCCCACCGGTGGGTTTTCTGACACCGCTATGAATTTCGTTTAATTTTATTTTCCAGAGCACATTTTGTATCAAACGGTTCTATCGTATAATCATGTTGTGTGTCGAGGTACCCTTATCCAAACAATAACTTCTAAGCGGTAAGCCCGTCCAAAGTCAACGGACCAAATACGGACCCCATTCCACAGGATTTTGACGAACCTCTCTTTCGCTTTCTTTTCTTTCTCTTTCTCAAATTTCCTAAGGTAACCCATCTCGTCGCTGGCCCCAACGTCAAAAAGCGGGTTCTCTGGAGTGGAACTAGTACAGCATAACCGCAACATTCTACATGTGCCGGCGCTTCTCTGACTTCCCCGCTGACCAACCATTTTGCTGGTCTAAATATCTGAGATTGCATCATTTTCTAGCGATTTTTGTAGGATTCATTCTCGCTTTGTTTTTCGATAGAAAAGTAAGCGAATTCCGAAAAATCAACTGGTTACAATATAAAAAGAATAAGAGACGAATTTTCTGGCCATAACCCATACCAATCGATAATTTATTTATTTTTTTCGTCTCTTTGAATTGCGTTGGTCTACTGACAACCTGATTTACGGCGATTTATGAAGGTAAGATAAGGGTAAATATATCTTTGGGGCTTGGTTGGGATATAGAACGTGGCATTTGCCCAATACCAAGCATGCTGATCATGACGATTGGCGAGTCTAATTATAAGAAGGGTGCACACACGCTGTGGCAGCACGAGGGCTTCGGTGATTGGTGAGTTCGAGCCACTGACCAATCACAGCCCCCCCACGCGCGTCAGGCGCCCGCCCAATCAACAGCAAGTCCCTGATGGACACTAGCTTCTTTTT